TATTAAGGACATTAATATAGATAATAGCACATAGTGATTCTGTTTGTTGTTTCAATAAATGTAAATTGACACATTATATACCACTGTATAGTTGTGTTCAAACATCTAACAAACACAAACAAAGGATGACACTAGACTTAGTACTAGATCTACTAGACAAGTTTAGCACGACGTGTATGTGAGGCAGTTCGCAGCAAGATGGTCAAGATGAAGCAGGAGAACCCACACCTTCGGTTCCAGTTAGAAGTTCATGGATTTAAATACTTTCGAGAACAGACCACAAGTAGCACTGGTGAGCCTGGCCTGGAACAACCCTGCAAAACCCTTCGCAATGTCTCACAACAATCAAATTCAAATTCACTAAACATTCAAGGTTCAAGATTCAAGATTCTAATTTGTAGATTGTAGATTTTCTTCAATCTATAATCATTAATCCAACGATCACTCAGACACTAGGACTAAACACTGATGTTGTCAGTGTCAGTGTCGTCAACTGTTAGTGCACAGGTCGCATGAGTCAAAGTCAGATCAAATCAAAACAAATCATTTCTTGTACGCCACGTCACATGGTCGCTCATGTTGATGAACTGTGTTTAGGTTTTACAAGATCATTCAGACACCCGCTCACCAACAATATGTTTGATCTGATCCTTATAACTTTCCAACGATGCACACTGTGCAACCACACTTGCCAGCATAGATTATGCAATTGGGCAGCCATACTTACACCATACACACTGCACACATTGATCGCAGAACCGCACGAACATAACGCCCAACCGCACGCACACATGACACACCCGTACACATACATTGCACGCACAGACCGCACAACCGTACGCACACACCGCACAACCGTACGCACACACCGCACACACCGTACGCACACACCGCACAACCGTACGCACACACCGCACACACCGTACGCACACACCGCACAACCGTACACACACACCGCACGACCGTACGCGCAGTCGTCAATCATAGCATCGTACCCTACGGAACCATGTCACCATAAACCTAGGTTTGCATAGCCTTTGAAAATAGATAAATACATATATATATATATATATATATAGGCTCAAGGCTGGGGGTTCCCCGGAGCTTCCAGGAACCCTCAGTCTTGAGCCTATACTATAAACGTCGTTATGGTAGAGATGGGGGGTGGGGGGGTGTAATAACGTCATGTGGAGTGCGTTGGATTGAGAGTTGTGGAAACCTTGAGGATGTTGCTTCGTTGAAGATGTTGTTACGTTGCAAGTATCGTTGTTGTTTACAGAAGGGGGGTGGGGAGGGGTGGGGGGGGGGGGGTGGGGTGGGGGGGTGTTGGTGTGGTGTAATAACGTCATGTGTGCGTGATTGGTGGGGGGGTGGGGGGGTGTAACAACGTCATGTGGAGTGCGTTGGATTGAGAGTTGTGGAAACCTTGAGGATGTTGCTTCGTTGAAGATGTTGTGACGTTGCAGAAGACCAATGGTGCTCTCGCTCCAAGCAACTGCTTCAAAAAACCTTCGTGGATGTGAAGATGAAAAAGGTGTGATGTTCATTTCGTCCATGGTTCTCCAGTGAATTATTACATTTTCTAGGTATCAACAAAACGACCAAAAATGCATGAAACCGCAATTCCAATGGTTAGAATGTTGCACACATGTTTGGCTAGACAACGTTTCACTCTCACACGGCCTCAAACTGTGGGATCTGCACGGACTTCTTTTCCTTGTGGGGAGCGGTGCTCTGGTTCGCCGAATCCTGCGAAAGCTGTGCTGCAGGATGGCTACCGGCATATCTATCTCGGCTTAAAAGTTGGGCGGGTGGCTCGAGGGAAAACTTTTGAGCCACACCTCCCGGTGAATGTGAACTTCTTGTCACTCCTCACAGCCAGCTGTGCTACATGACAATGTTTCACTCTCACACGGCCTCAAACTGTGGGATCTGCACGGACTTCTTTTCCTTGTGGGGAGCGGTGCTCTGGTTCGCCGAATCCTGCGAAAGCTGTGCTGCCATGTGGTCGCGAATCTCTTGCCATGACATCGCGATCCCAAAAATGATGAACGAGATCCTTAGCACATGTTGAGGCCTGATTGAAGTCCTTGGTGGCTCTAGCGAGTATGTGGTAGACTGCGCCCCAGTCCATTTCAATTTCTGTCCACCCCAACTCCAAGGCTTCTTGGACCTTGTGGCGGGAGATTGCGTCTGACATACCTAGATGAGGGTTGTGTACAAAAAAAGTGCCGGAGTCAGACCTGGCAAAATATTTTGCCGCAGGTATGTTTTTTCGACGTAGCACATCAAAAAACGACGGTGAGCTGAACAAATGACTCTGAAGAATTTCGGTTCCCACAAGAGATCACCATGGCCAGGAGCCAACATCCACAACAATCTTCACCAGTAAGATCTGGCATACATATTATTGCTTTAAAAAATGGTGAAATGCCACATCATGTATATCAAATCAAATAATGATGACTAATGGTGAGCAAAAGCCAACCAGCAAAAAAAGGAGTGAGATCACAAATCATCCAGCGTACCCTACATTGGATCATGGCATGTGTCGAGCCAGATCCTCAGCATGGGGCAGGAACCTGGGCCAGGATTGGTTTCAATCGGCACCTTTTTTTTCCAAGGATAGCATGTCGCTTCAACAGGGCCCGTTTCTTCAGGAAGTATCGGTTCAAAACTCTTTGGGTGATAGTCCGTACACTGACAACTTTGGACAGGCGGCTGACACGACCTATTGTGTCTTCATTCTGTTCATTGCCCCAAACAATTGGGTTGAGGCAAAGTTTGCAACCTTTTTGTAGTTGCGACCGCAAATCAAAATATACATGATGTAATGCATGAAATTTGGGCTTCATGCCCCAAGCAACAATGTTGAGCTGTAAAGCCTGATGCGCGAGGCTCTTGTAACCCCTCATGAGCTGAAGGATTTTCAAGTACACAAGCTTGGCACAACTTCTGTTCAGCCAAACGCCATGGCTGTAAAGAACATCAAACATATCAAAAGAAGCTTGGGAGGTGCGCACAAAGGTCCGCAACATATGCTCATGCTGCATTGACACTTGGGTAGGCATCTGAAGGTGGAGCTTCGCAAACCAACACAGCCATTGATTCAATAATGTTGTGTCGCTTCCCTTCGAATTAGACCAGGCCGAGTGCGCATAGCTCTTGGAATTGAGAAAGGCTTTCGAAAAACTTCTAAGCCCTGGGCTCTTAGAATTTGCCATGCACCACAAGCGGAAGCTGTTGTGGGCTCTTTCCAATCTATCCTCTATGTTTTTGTAGTCTTGGCAATTGGGGTCTGGGTCATCAAATAGTCCCAATCTGCACCACACCAAAATTGCGCTACCGGCTAAATCACGCCCCAACCCGACTTTCCATAAATGAAATAAATCGAATTTGATCAAGCTGATGTCTGGGGCAATGGCCCAAGGACGACTGCTATGTAACGTACTTTTCCAAATCGGGTCATAATCGGCTCTCTCAAAGGGTATGGTTTCATCCCCGGCTAAGCAGTGACTGCACATCAATTTGCCAGCCGAGAGGCCGATCGATGATATGACCTTTGCAAATTGCCAATGGCCGTTTGATGTTTGAAATCTCCTTTTGAACCCAAAATAGCACCAAACCACAGACCACCATGCCGAGCACCATCAGCGAGAACTCCTGAGGTGAACAAGCTTTTGCAATCCTCCGCGAGGAGCTGAATGTGTCTGTGCTCAATTTCCGGGTTGGTCTTGTAGAGGAAAGATGGGAGCCCAAAAATAACATGCCTGGTCAAGTAACTATGACCTGTGTTGTTGGTGCTTTGCAGAAGGGCCCTGAAAAAGTCAGTGCGCTCACCGTTTTCAGGATTGATGTCATCCCCTGAAATTGTCGTGTCCAGTTGGGGCATTGCGCCCAACTGATGTTTGCATTGACACTTGTTCTCATGTGGCAGGTCATGTATACCCAACAATGATTCCACTGTCCATACCAAAAATTGTCCTCTTTTGGGACCTCTGCCCTCATCCCCGAAAAGGGCTAGTGGCAGAACTCTGTGGAGCCGATGGGAATGGGCAGAGAAAACCAGATGCTCAGGATGTACTTGTTGGAAGTAGCGCCAAAAGATTCGTAATTGACACTCAATGTCTTTCTCCCTCTTGAACCCTCCAGTCAAACTTTCGGGGTGAAGTTTCATAAGCGTGCGAATCCAATCTGTCGGTTTGCACCAATGAGTTGTAACCATGCGTTTGTCACACTCATGTATGACATCCTCAATTGGTATTGGCAATGACAGCCCCCAGAGATTGAATTTTTTGTGCAGCTCACGCTCTGCAATCGTTTGATCAACACCATGCCCCGCATTAATAAGCACCTTTCCAGTTCGATGCGCAGTTACCTTAGGCACATGCGATGCATGAAGTTAACCCAGTGATAACTGGAGAATCGAACGTTTCCATGTATATAAGCTCCAAAAATAAACAAGGAGCCACCACAATTTGCTTCCCTACGTGGCTAAGTGGGTGATTAAAATCGATTTCATCATTACTTGTTTTTAAGTATTGGCCGGCTTGATGAATTCAAGCGGCCCCTTCGCCGAGGCCTTCTGCCGCTTGTTCCCGGAGAAGCTGCCCTGCAGTTTCTTGGCTTTCGGCCCCTGGCGTTCGGTCGCAGATTTGGTCAAAGAAATGTGAAACTGATCGCCTTGTTTTTGCATGGCTTTATTCATGGAAAACCATGAGCCCCCGCGAATAGCATCACAGTTGGAATCATCGAAAAAACATACATTTTGTGAATCAACAGCCAAAAACTTGAAGCATGATGCGATTGCTCAAACTGTTTTTTCCATTGCGCATGGCCATCCATTGGCACCCTCGGTCTCGAACGTCGTTGGCTTCCAGGCATACACACACATACTAAGCATACAGGGACCAATATTTATAGTCTAAACCAAACCATTGAATGATGGTTACAACTATTAAATTCGTTTAGAAGGTTAAGAAGTCGTACACTATCAATAGGTACCATTGCCTGATTCCCAACCTTTGTCAGCCATGGTTCAAAAGGGAATGGCCCAAATTGGGCAGTGAACCCCAGCTGTCACCCCAGTGCAGCTGGCACAAGTAAAAGATCCTACTTTGCCTTTTTGGACACTGGTGTTTCAGTAGAATCACCAGAAGGACGTTTCTTTTGGAATGCTTTGGCCTTTGCCTCACCCTTAGCTTTTGCCTTTGCTGAGGCAGGCTTCCCATCAGACTTAGGAGCCGGCGACTTGGTGGGTTTGGGCTTCGTAGCGGCCAACCTCAGGATCAAGGACTTTTGTATTAGGCTTTCTTTCATGGAGATGGTATTGATTTTTATTGTAAGGCAATGCATGGCTCATTTTTTCCGCCTAACACAAATTGACTACTGGACAAGCTGGTGGCTTTATATATGTTCATTCAAGCAACTTTAAGAAGGACTAACTTTTAGACAAATCTGAATTATGAAGCTAATGAGGCTACTGATGACTGATACTATCTGGGAATCTGTACCTTTCACAGGGGAGCCACATTAGTTTGTTTCAATATACTTTTGAGACAACCAATGGCCTACTGTAATGATTGAAACATGTTTGAGGTCCGGGCGAGACCCGGCTGTCGATGCAGACTGCGTCAATGGCCCTGGGCACGGGCTTGGTCATAAAATCGAGCTGGGGGAACAAGGGCCCAGGCATGAACCACCACCGAATCCAACTTTTGCAATAAAAGATTTCTTTGAAACAAGTGTCGTTTTCGATTTTCATTCATCAAAGGAATAGGTATCCCCCACATCCATTGGAATTGTTTATCTGAGTCAAGGCACCTGCACAAAACATCTTACTAAGCTGAGGTGGGGACAGCTTCCGAGACTCTTCAAACAAGGTGCGGAGATTTTTCTGAAGCCTGAGTCTTGGGGAATTAGATCATTAGATGGATCGGGTCTAACCTTAAGGTGTGGGACAAACATTGGGGTGCAACTGGGTCACCCCTTGTTGAAACCATTAACCAACCCTGCGCTGTAGAGCTCACCAATTTTCTCATCCTTCTCAGTCAAGTCCTTGGTCAAATTCTTGACCTTGTCGAGCAACCTTGGTAACAGGTTTGCATGTTTAAACTCATGGGCGCCCATGCATGGTTTTAAACAGTTCCAAATAATTAGTTAACAAGGTTGCCGAAAAAACATTGGTCAAGTAGCTTTCCCTGGGTTTCGTTGATTGGCGAAGCTAGCCTTTCTTGGTGCACCCCAAGTTTGGCCAAGCGCTTTCCGATAGCTTTGGAAACCTTGATGACCAAAGAGGATGGTTGGATATCCCCTCTTTCCATGCCTGGTGGGAAAGCCACTTGCTTCAGGAGTTTGGCCTCATGATTGAAACCATCATCATCATCCTCACTCTCATCGAGGGGTTCATCTCCAGGGCTGGCATTACACGACTCACCTGCCAGGGATACCCAACAAATTTATGGTAGATTTACTAATTGGTACTAATTGGTTGGTTTAGAGCAGGCAGCATCTATGAATATTTCCCCTAAACAATCAAATTCAGTAAAACCACCAAACCTGCGGGACCAGGTGTGGAGACGCTAGCCATAGTGCAAGCAAGGTTAACCGAACCCACGCTTCCTGGAACTTGTGGGATCTCGTTGTCACTGGCATCCTCCTCCATGGTCTTCTCGAAGATGTTGCGGGTAGTGGTCCTTAAAGGTGCATCGAAATTTAAGAAGGACCCACCCAGTTGTAAAGGAATTCAACCGATAAGTTTGGCATGTCTGTGTATTTGTTTTGATCATGGGAAACAGATTTGTTAATAAACTAGCCAGTACAAGTTATGCATCATCACCGCTGTCATGCTGGTAACATACCAACAATGCAATGACATTTATTCTTGACGTAATCAAGTAACCCAACTTAACCCAACCCCCATGAGTCCCAACGACACCACATCATCCACTAAAGTTCTCTGGTTGGAAACATGTGTTGTGTTTTGGTTTGCTGGCAAGTTGCTTGCGCTGGCCTTTCTGGCTGATGATAACCCAGTACAAAGTGCCCTCTCCATATTCAGATTTCCTGGCCGGGTTGGGGTTGAAAAAGTGTTGCCTTTGTGTGGGCCACCACTCCATTGCACCTCGTGAAGCCAGGCTTGGAATCGCAGTGCTTCTTCGCCCCCTTGATCTTTCGCCTAAGAGCTGCGAGCAGGACAAAGGGGGCCAGGAAAGGTTCACCATGGCAATACCTGGGCTTGTTTCTCATGTCCCTTGTAAGATTACATTGTGCACAAGTAAGTTGGAATCTATATATATATATATATTATTAAGGTTCAAAAGATAATGGATTTGGATAACCAAGCTACTCACTCCAACCTGCATCAACCATGTCTTGCTCACTGTAGAACTCGTAGTTGTCTTCTGCCGCAAACTCTTCAATTTTTTGGTAGATACGGGTGACTTTGGCAATGAACCGTTCCTGGTGCCCAAGGTGGTCTAGCATGGTTTTGGTGGCATTATAATTTGTTCACAGCACTAACGAGTTATAACGAATTGATTTTGATATGTTATGATAAGATGAATCCAGACTAACCCCGCCTACAATATAGATGCTCAATACTTACCTTAACAGATAGATCATGAATGGTTGACAAGGAAATCAGGGAAAACGGTTGGAACAAACATTTTTTTAACCCACAGTCCCGATCATGACCGCATCGTTCGAACATTTTCTTGACGTCATCTTTGTTCTTCTCGTACTGCTCCACCAATTGAGCCGGAACTTTGAGGGAACCATTCGATCTGGGGGTCATGATCCGGCGTAGCCGTTGATCCGCCGCTTGTTCTGACAAAAAACTGGGAGGCGTTGGGGTTTCAGCACCGAATAAGGCATCCTCATCAGTCAATCCAGTACCCTCATTGCCCGGTACCTGAACCACCTCACTGTCACCTGGGGCAACCGCCTCAGCTGGAGCCCCGCTGTCACCTGGGGCAACCGCAGGAGGAACCTCATCAACAAGGGTGTCATCGACCTCAGGCGCCGGTGGTGGCGAATAGTATGGAGTGGCATCAGCGTTGCCATGTGGAGCCGCAGCATTGGGCGATTTGTTCCAATAGCTGTCATCTTCCTTGGAAATGCAGGGCGGTATATATATATATATATATATATATGTATGTATATACGTATATGTACGAGTATATATATATACACACAGTTATTTAAAGAGCAAATATCACTATCCATCAATATCGATATCACATAAATATGTATAGCATATTTAGTATACATATTTGATATTTATTTCAATCAGATATGTAAAATATCAATATCATTACACATGAATACAGAACATATATATATATATATGTAGCCACCAAAAAGGGGTGGTATAATATATAGATCTCTCTATCTTTACCAATCTGCTTGTGAATGTAAAGAAATATCTATGCGTGTGGCATACCATCGATTTAAAAACAATCCTTCTAATTTTGTTGCCACCACTAAAACATTGTGCTTCCATTTTGGGACCACTAAAAAAATATGCTTCAATGTTGGGACCACTACAACATTGTGCTTCCATTTTGGTACCACTAAAAAAATGCGCTTCCATTTTGGGACCACTAAAAAACTATGCTTCCATGTTGGGACCACTAAAAAATTGCGCTTCCATTTTGGTACCACTAAAAAATTGCGCTTCCATTTTGGGACCACTAAAAAAATATGCTTCCATGTTGGGACCACTAAAACATTGTGCTTCCATTTTGGTACCACTAAAAAATTGCGCTTCCATTTTGGGACCCCAAAAAAATTGCGCTTCCATGCAGGGACCTAAAAAAATGGCTCCACCTTTCCTGGAACCAAAGTTATTGGATTTGTCCACGCACTTGAATCAAAGCATTTGGCAACTCTCATGCAGAAACCGTGGGTGAATATGTGTGTTTTATGTGGTTACAAGTTGCAAGCTATACCTGGTCAAGAGACCTAGCCATATATGTGTATAACATTTGGGGACCCAAATAGAAATAGTTCAATACTAACCAAAACAAGTACAATAATGTGGGTATAACAATAATAAACCATCCCCCTAATCATCCTAATCACCATAAATGGGTGGTATAAACCATCGTGTATTATTGTTGTACCCACATTATATATAATATATATATATATACAGCTTCTGGGTGCTAAAAAGACCCTTGGAAACCCTAAGATACCCCAAGTAAAACACCTACAGAAACTATTATGGATAGGTCCATACTTCAACAATTTTGTCATCAATATTTAAATTATTAAAGTATTTGTTGTAATTACCCACAATGTACCATTAATGATTAAGCACAGCTACTGCATCTTAAAATTGGTTGGTGTCATTTTGAGCCACCCCAATCAACACCGGAAAACCTTTGGAGCCTGTTAGATACGAATGGAAAGACAAATCACCAAGACAAAGGTACCAACATAGTTTGCTTGGTTTTAGGTCCAGGGTCTGGTGGTTGGGCATCAGGCTCCTCCCGTCGAGGCGTTTCCGAAGCCACACTGATAGGTTTGGGGGATGTCTCACTGGTAGCCGCCACTGCCATCTCTTTCCCCACTCCTTTGCCCTTCGAGGCGCGAAGTGCCTCGTGGATTGCAGAGGTGCAGCGGACCCACAGGATAAATGTAAAGAGGACATAACTATCATCAGCAATCGGTTGTACAAGTTGTGTGCAGTATGTATTTTCGATCAAATGGTGTATGATCAAAATTAATCCAGTATCCAGGGCTCCCATCTATATCTATAAATATCAAACCAAACATTACCCATGATGAAAACAGCTGAAGGATTCTGAATAAACCCAGGCACTTCTAGGCGTTTCTTCTCTTTGAGCATTTCTTGGTACAAAGGGTCATTCTCTAAGCTCATGGTTGCCGATCTGAGTATCTCCACCCCCCTGACCAATGTGGAAGTACTCGTGTGGACTGAAATTGAGCCAAAACACCTCTCCCATTCCCAAACAAAACATGTTGAAAAATCTGTTACGGGGAATTACGCCGTAATGTTGGGAATTTACGCCGTAATGTTGGGAAATTACGACGTAGATATTTCGTGTTTTTTTTGAAATTTCCGAAAAAACCATTGAAATCCAGTAAAATTCTGGTTACCGCTGGCAAAACGTGACGTGACCTGATGTCACAATGCAGTTGCAAGCCTGGGACATTGAAATGTGCATTTTTTCGCCACCCCACACGCAGCATCAGCTACCTAGCCCGTATATTCCTTAAACAATTCTCTGTACTTGCCATGAAAGTGAGGAGGAATCACCAGGTATTTCGATTTCAAGACGTAGGTGAGGCATTCCACCAATCCAGCATCCTCCCACAAGTCCCCAGTCGGCATGGCCAACAGCAGGTCGAGCAGTGGAACATCTTGATCCACCTGGCAGGCTGGCTCCACAATGCAGCGCTAAAATGTAAAAACACTAGAGGAAGAGGAGGTTATACCATGGCCCCTATCATGAAGTGAAGCCCATGGCCCCTATCATGAAGTGAAGCCTTAAAGGAACTCATAGGTTGGCTATAACTGTGAGAATTGTGAAAATTGTGTACTCATAAGTTCGTTAATTTATGGTAATGTGACCTGTGGCATCCCCTTGGCGATGTATGTCAATAAGAAAACACCAAAAGAACCACCCCATATATATATATATATAATTATAATTGGGTCGCAAACTTATACATACATATCCGTGAACACTGTTCTGGCCCTTGCTGGTAGTGAACCTGTGGTAACTCCGGCTTGGACTTCAACAAGGTTCGGCGACAGCGTAGCATAAAGCCACAGAAGCTGGGAGGGCACACCCTGAGTTGCAATAATAATTCTTACGATGGTCCAGGAATCATTTTTAACCATAGTAATACTTAATAGTCATTGGTTATTTTTCAAATAACCACGAAGAAGGAAATCAACCCATCAAAATCTTTTTAATGTGGGTAAAACAATAATAAACCATCCCCCTAATCACGATAAATAGGTGGTATATAAACCATCAAAAATGGATGGTATATTATTGTTCTACCCACATTACATAGGCAAGGAACTGACTTGCTTTCAAAGCTGGTGTTCCTTTGTACCGGACCCGCCCCGACTTATCTACATAACGAACTGCCGTTAAGGGAGCGCCCTTCTTCTTCATGGAAACTTTCTTCTTCCCGCGATTGAAGAGAGCAACATAGTAAGAAGTCGACCATAGTTTTGTTGGCTTATCATTCGGGTGACCATAGTTCAGCATCCAGAAAGCCGTCCGATATATCTCAGTTCGATCATGGGACATGCAACAATATGGGAAATGCATTCATGGGAAAAACCCAAGCGGGAGTACTTGGTGTTTCCGATTGCCAAAATGGGAGCCAACGATGTTCAATGGATTTCGGGTAGCTGTTTCCCCAAAAGTCATCAAATTCGGGCACCGAAAGAAAAATGCATGTTACAAAACCTGTCCGGCCAAGGTAGGAAGCTTGGAGTCACAGCTTTAGGGAAACGAAAATTGAAGCTTGTACCAACCAATTTAATTCTGTTCAAACTTAATGGTGATAAAAACCAAATAATGAACTGGGCTTTAGTTGTTCTTTTGGGTGGCTGTGATTCCAAACCTTCCTTACCTTTGCAGGCTTCATGCACACAACTGAGTCACAGGGATTTTCATTGAACGAAGGGTCTTCACTAGCCACACCATCCTATCATGGAGCATGATCAAAGATGACTTTGGGTTCTCCAATATCGGTACCCCTCCGGCTGCCACCACAAAGAGGAATATAAGAGCAAACCTTCCAGGGTTGAAAAACCATTGGAACCCATGAATATATATATATATATGTAGTTAAATATTCATTTAACATATAATATATATATATTTCAGCACCTCCCTAGCCTTGAAACCATTTTGTTAGCTCCCTGAATGCTGGGGTAGGCAAGGCAACCCATAGGTGTCAGCACATCCCTTTGTGAAGTTCCTTGGTTGATGGACACCCAAGTGCTGCACACCACTCCAGCTAGAAGTAGTAGATCTCCGAAACGACATTGGATGATGCTGAGCAAAGTAAGCCTTAAGACTCAAGAAACGTGCAGGTGGCAGCTTTCTGATGAACTTTACTCATGCCAAATTTCCAAACCCCTGAACAAATCAGAAACAGTTTATGTCATTTTGAAACACCACAAGGCTGCAAAGTGATTAGCTGGGAAACAGGTAGCCACCAGATTCATTGATATCCATTGCCGATTTTCCACCTTTTTTTTTGAGGCGGGGTCAAAGGTTACATCGTGAGCATGGGCTGGTATGCCTAGACTTTTGGCCAGGCGAGCCAATCGAGCCCGCCCTGCGAAGAGCTCCAGGACTTGGATTTCTGCATCAGGAGGTTCCAAGCAGAGCCAGCTTGTGGCCAAAATCAGCAAGATAAAAACCTGTGGCGGAGAAGGGTAAAGACAAACCATTGGTTTCGAAGTTATGATGAGCTGTTATCTAAAGACTATACTTGCTAATTTTAAATCCACATCGCAACTAAAGCCATCCGAAATCAATTCCTGGGATGCTCCGCCATAATGAATAAAGCACAATAGTACAAAACTTAACTGATAACAATGCGCTATTACTGATAATGATGAAACATCAAAATGTCCGGCTAATGATTCAACATCCAAAAAACTCACCATGTGTATCAGACATTATGCGAATCAACCTTCGTTTTAACCAAACCAGTTTCATGTTTTGCAACCTTCGGCGCTTTCAACTTGATGAGGCGTCTTAGACAGACTTCCAGCTCAGCATCCTTCATGGCTTTCGCTGGTGAAAACCCTCACCTAAATTTGATCTTGATGGCCACGCTGGAAAAAATCAATCATGAAAGCAAGAAGGTGGGTTGCAACCACCATTCCAAGGGTGTGTTCATGTCTCACTACTATAAATCTGTCTTGGTCAGCTTCAATGCAAATTGTTTTATGGGATCATGTGAATTATCTACTATCAGTCAATGCTACGGATAGCCAATGATACTTTAATGATGTTCCTCGGAGTTACCATTCAAACCTTGCTACCACCCCCCAACATGCCAGGGTCTCCAAATTCCGCACCCCATTTGATGTAGGACGTCAGCACCTTTGGCGATGGCATCAGCTTCTGCGCGATGAAGGCGACATGTACCTGGAGACAAGAGTACATGGGTAAGGGTTCAGTATGCCCTTGTGGACTGGTTGTCCCAAGGGCCCGGGGAATGAGAAAATCAAAAAACTGTCAACAAGTCGTTTTTGTTTGGGCAACATGTTAAGCAAAGGTGTTGCTCGTGCTCAACATTGATCCACCTAGCTTTGGCACCCTCTAGCCGCTAGCCTTTTTTTGCGAATCAAGTATTCTGTTAGATCTTGACCTTTGGCCATCCTCGTGATCCAACACCAGGGGCCCGGTAACCGGTAACAGTTGAGAAACATTTGGTGGTGATGGAAACTGCCAAAACGATTCTTCAGCTGACATTGCAGCCTGCGAGACTCAGTGCAACTAAGCAGGCCACTACAAATCAAACTGGGCAATCAACCCCGTGTTCCATCAGTGTTTGGCCCACGCATCAGCTTCCTAACCACGCAGCTTACCTTGGCAAGCGTGAGATGGACACATTGATTAGGAGACCATGCAAAGTAGAAAGCAATCAATGAGACGTTGGATTGGAAACCAAACCCTATCATAGCTAATGGGGTTCGATTTAAAAACCTGTGAACCTTTTTGGAACCCAATGAAAAACAAATCATCTTTATAGTTTGCCAAAGTACTCTGCACCTCAGGGGTCTTCAAAAACTCCTCAGCCAGAGCAAGCGCAGCTGCTGGGTAGACGGCCACGGAGCTGCCAGTAGGAACTGCATCTGCCCACCGTTGCCCACAAAATTTCCAAAAAGGATCCTAAGGGGTAGCAGGACTTAAGAGAAGTAGGGCTGATGATGTTGGAATGAATGTACATCTCGAGTAACAAAACTTACAGGTGTTCCACTTGAATGTGTTTAAGCTGAGGGTCTTCCATGGTGCTGGGGGAGCGGATCTTGGATTCAACCACATTTTCGAAAGCATCCCTCAAAGATTGCCAGAAGGACCCTGAAGGTTCACGGCCTGGCTTGACCCTCCTCGCAAAAGTTGCCTTTGTCTTTCCATTTTTTGGCTTTCTCCCCTTTCGTGTCTTGGCAGCCTTTTTGTTGCTCTTCGAAGATTTCGGCTTCTTTGTGGACTTGGCCTTTGGTGATTTCACTTTCTTCGGGTGCTTGCTTTTCTTTGGGGGTGTAGGTGTTGAAGCCTTCACCTCCTTCGGGGATTTTGCCTTCTTTGGGGATGATGGTGTCTTCTTTGTTCCAGCGGGAGTGGCAACTTTCTTTCCCTGTTTTTTCGGCTCTGGAGTAGAGGTTTCCTTTGGGGCATCTTTCTCCGGGCTATCTTCAATGGCCGCTGCTGGGCGCTTAAGCTTTTGACGGGTTGCCTTCCTGAGACCGATCTGCTTGAGTCGGGCGACGCTCTTGTCCTGGCAACAGATGGAGAGAACAGGGAGGGATACATAAATGATAGATAAGGACATTTCAACCCCTTGATATAATAGAACCAAAGATCCTTACTACACATACTTACTTGACAACATATATATATATATAAACATGTGGAACGTGGGGGCACCAGCCAGAAATCCTCCTCATCATCTTCCATCAGGCCGGCCAAAGTGGGGCTTGCTACATCACCCTGCTTAGGCTGGGATGAGGGAATGTTCCGGGTGGGTGATCCCTCAGCTTGAATTGGACTTGTCGAATCATCTCCACCAGTACATGGAGAGTTGGATGGCTGGCCATCCACAAGGACAGGAGTAGCGGTAGCTGGGGCATCCATGACCTGAGGTGGGGTCCCCAAAACATCACCATCTGTCTGCAAGTACTCGGCCATCTGGGTAGCTGGGTACTGCAAAGTCTCACCATGATCACCGATACCTCAAAACATACAAGATGGTGACGGTCAAAGCAAAACACATGCATGGTAAACTCCAAAAAATGTCCAGGTGTTGAGACAACCCAATGTGTTTAACGGCCATGGCACTGCCCCAAGAAGCCTTGACTTTCTCGGTAGCCAATGCGATCTTGCGTTCTGCCATCTTGATCCTGGGTAGGTGCTGAAAATTGAAAATTGTGTAAAACTGACCTGGGTGTTGATAAACCGATGGATGAATAGTAAAAATCCATTTAGATATATATATATGTATATATATATATTATGATATAATATATAAATCTATAGTATTATACATGCTATAAATAATCCCTTCCTCCTAATACTAAACGTCCCCCTAATACTAAAAACCGGCATCCATCTCCAATTTCCGAAAATTTCAGTTTGGCCAATTTGACTTTTAATTGATCCCCTTTTAAAAAACAATTTAAAAATCAACCTACCATTTGTGGGTTCTCCCCCCTAATACTAAAAACTAGTTCACCCCGGGGTGTTTAGTATTAGGGGGGCCTAGTCCCAATCCCTCACTCCAAGCTGCCTAGCTACTCTAGCAAGGGGTAAGCTGCCATTTTTGGCAATATTTTAATTGCGTTATATAAGGAAATTTAATTGATTTTGAGATCGGAAAAAATAGCAGTATTAGGGGTAAGCTTCGAACTGCCATTTTTGGCAATATTTTAATTGCGTTATATAAGGAAATTTAATTGATTTTGAGATCGGAAAAATAGTTTTTAGTATTAAGGGTTTTAATTTAGTATTAGGGGTAAGCTTCGAACTGCCATTTTTGGCAATATTTTAATTGCGTTATATAAGGAAATTTAATTGATTTTGAGATCGGAAAAAATAGTTTTTATTATTAAGGGTTTTAATTTAGTATTAGGGGTAAGCTTCGAACTGCCATTTTTGGCAATATTTTAATTGCGTTATATAAGGAAATTTAATTGATTTTGAGATCGGAAAAAATGGTTTTTATTATTAAGGGTTTTAATTTAGTATTAGGGGTAAGCTTCGAACTGCCATTTTTGGCAATATTTTGGTTCCCTAATAATAAATACCCCCCTAATACTAAAAACTACCTGCCGTGTTTTGTATTAGGGGGGGGGGGTTAGTATTAGGAGGAAGGGATTAGTGTATAGAATGCAACAATTTATCCAAGTGTCTCCAATTCTTTCAACTGCTCATCGATATCAAGTGCAGACTTCTCTTCTGGGGTGTCAAGTTCAAACCCGAGAGTTGGACAAAGATCACCCCCCAAGGTCCAAGCCAAGTACTCATCATGAACTTTGGGTTTTGTGTCTGGAGTTTTATCACCAGAAACTTCATCTTCCGCTGCGGGTGTTTCGGGAGCAGCCGCCTGACTTTCCCCAGGTACCGCACCATGGTGACTATCTCCCTCATCAACCTGAGGAGGCTTGGAATCGGAAGTCTGGGATTTGCGTTTCTTGCGTTCCCAATGGGTTGCAACCTTCTCGAACAGAAGCCGCAAAGCCACATCCTTAGAACAAACCGCATTGGTGTATCCAACACATCATGGTGAGCAACAAACTTCAGGGGTTAAAAAATGGATGAATACGTTTCTGGTTTTATATTTTTATGTGTGTTTTTTTACTTTGGAAAAGTTTCTCTTCGATCACTGTCATCATTCCTTCGCACAATGAGAGACATGAAACCTCTCAGTGCAGAAGCCTCACAATAAACCAAGCTTGGTCGGGTAGGAAGGCCCAGCATCCCACGCAATTTCCTCACCTAGCAGGGCTGTGTATGAGAAGATTTTTTTCGTAAAGTTGTACATGGTGTTTCTGGGAACCCCCTAAAAAGGAAGCTGCTGAACATGTAAAAAATAATATCGCCTCGTGTTTGGCTTCGTCCAGTTGCAAAGTCTTCGCTTTCGGATTGATGGGGCACCAATGGTCCACAAGAACATCCACTACTGGAAGGTTCAACAAGAGGGTGTCATAGTTGATACGACCAGCAGCTGCCGGAGTAGGCCATGTAAAAAGAGACTTCCTCCTCACCATGTCCCGGCGTAACCCCTTATTCCCTTCCAACAGCTCCGCCAACCCCTCAAGATGTGGTTCAGGGACATCAGCGGCCATGGCTAGACACAGGTTAGCCCCCAGCTTAAGAGCCAAACCTTCTAGACCATGCAAGGTGTTGGTCTAAGAAACTCCTGATGGGTACAGAAACCAATGACCACAAACTTCAGTGAAACATGGGGCACTTCTCAATCTTCAGGAGGATGGTGATGACCCAACGTCCTGGCAGGGGCGACCCTACAAATGCAACATTTTTTTGGCAGGTTTTTCCAATTTGTATTGGGCAGAATGGTGATAAATGGTAATGGAAGCCACACTTTCATTGGAATCAAGAAGTGCTTTATACCATACATCGTCTTTAAATCTTGGGCTACCAGGACCCGATCATAAGGCCAAGGACATAAACCCCAAGCAAGCCTCCAGGTGTGAAGGCAAAACCCTCACATTGATGGGCTAGCCTGCGTGGGGATGATGGTTTTCCAGGGCATTTATGATAAGCTCACAGGACCTTCAAGTGTAGCTAATCTCCAACAGTTGCTGAGGTGTTGAACATGTTTTTTTGGCACCGTGCTCATGTTTGGAATCGAGGAGCGGTTCTCCACGAAATGGAACAAGTAGGCCCAAAAGCCAAGGTCAGAAAAACCACCTGTGTAATCCGGTCACTATGTACTTCCATCCAAACAAGCCTATTATGAATTAGTCGGTGTGTGCCATCTGGTCGCCAGGCTCTTTGCTGACAGTCTGACCAGCGGGCACTTCCATGTGGGACTTCTCTTTTGCACCTGGCCAGATGGCAGGATATCAAAACCAGCTAAGCAGCTAAGACATACCAGGACATGTTGCCAGCAAATGCCAAGTTGCGGGTTCTATATACTTGATTCTCTGGTTGAAAGTGTGAGCTGTCAAACCACAATCTGTGAGCAAAGTTTCTCTTTGTTATCCAAGGGACGTTCTGACTGCCATTCACGATAGAAAGAAGCCAACTGCAAAATGTACCCATCCGACTTGTAATTTTCGATCAAATGCTGCACCCGATCTTCATGAAGTTCTGTTACATCCTTAGTGATAACAGGTAACCCCAACAAAGTCAAATTTATGGGACATCTCCATCAAAAGTTTCATGCAACTTGAGGGTTCACCTCCAACCAAAAATTTGTTTTGAGATTCTGTGGGGTCATCCGCAGGCCACAGAACTGTTTGAGCTTCAGCCCAGAACTTTGTTGGCAAATCTTCCAAGCCTCAATTTGAGCAGGGCTGGAGGAATCCCATAGGCAAGTTACATAAGCAACTTGAGAGCTCACCGTGGATCGATTAATCTGAAAAAAAAAATCTTGCCTGCAGACCGCAGCTGCTCGAGGAGTGGGTGGCCATTGGGAAGGGATGGTGGCTCAGACATTTTAACTACTAAGGTCTTTGATTGAGCAGCCACCAGCTTCGGCACATCAAATATATATCATCAAACCATGAAGCTGGTGCGCGATCACATCACAATCTCCGATCAAGAGCTATCAGCATGCAAAAAGGGGGGGTGGCGCACCTCCACCATCCAGCAGCTCTTGAACACAGAGCTCTAAAATGCAATTCTTGAGCCCCCATCTGGTAAATGAATGGATGATTCCAACCTTGCCTTAAAATAGAAATTGACGTTGCCCCATGAATTACGACGTAGGTGCCAAAAAGTCAACTTTTGGCAAAAAGAGCCGTAGCTGCACTTCTAGGTATTGGCTTCACTTGTCACTCTCTGAAAATGTGGTGCCAGTTGCTTGGCTTCCAAAAACTGCCAGACGCAACTCAAAAGAGAGTTGCTTCGGACATCCTTTCCGAAACCTTTCAACAAGGCACATCGCCCTGCTTCGTTGTCACAAAAACACCAAATATTGCGGTGTAAGAATTTTTGGCCAGCAATCAGAGCCAAGGTTTGTGCAAGCACTTCGAGTGCATAAATGTAAGCGCGTCTTGTGGTGAAGTGTGAGATGAGGTGTGGTGGAATGCTTCCGTGTGCAAAAAACACTTCTGTGCCGTGGCGGATGATGAAACCCCATCCGTTCTCCATGAGGTTGGCGCCGTCTGGGTTCCATGACCAATCGTCTGTGGCAGCTGAAAGTCTGATGGTTCGCTCTCCTGCTTTGAAATACGCATCTGCGTAAATCACAGATGTTGGTTCTGTGTTGAAGTCGAGCTGCATGGGCCTCATCTTTGGCAAAAGTTGCAAGTCGTGATGTGCAATTCGCACTGTAGGGATGTTCCTGGAATTTTCGGGGAACGGGTTGGATTTTGCAGGTTTTGGTATAAAACAGGCCTTGCAGGCCCTATGAGGCCCAAATCAGTGACAATTTGGCTCTGTCCAGCCGCTTCACAGGGTGTTTCGAATGTGCTTACAGAAGGGGAGATCTTGCATGAATTTTGGAATTGGTGGATTCACAGAATTATGAGGTTTCTTTTTTTCAAACGTGATCAAAAACATATTTTGGAATTTACGAAATGTGATTAAAAACATATTTTGGAATTTACGGGGGGATTTGTTTTTGAATAAAATTTATACCGAGAGGTCACCCATGAGTTTCAAATTTGTTTTGGGCGTGGGGACATGATATTTTTGCACCTTTCATTTTGTGTTGTGTTAAGTTGTTCAGGGAAGGTTGTTCAGGGGTCGCCCTATATTTGGCTCCAAAAAAAACATTTCGTGCTTTTTGGAGAACCGACAAAATACTTCTTAGGTTTTTCACAATGAAATGGAAAGGAAAACTTTTCTTGAGAAATTAATTGCTTTCTTCGCATTCAAAGCTTGGTGGAAACTCGGTGAGGTGAGAAGCCGATGAAAACTTCATGAGAACTTGGTGAATACCTGGTGAAACCTAGTGGAAACCTGGTGCAAATTTGATGAAATCTTCGTGGAATTTGGCGAAGACCTTGTGAACATTCCAAAGCTGGTGAGCAAACCAGGTGAAATTCAGAAATCTGGTGAAAACCGTGTGAAATTTATTTATTGAAGAAACGTTTTACATTTTGAAATTTCACCAAAAGAAGCGTTTTCACATGTTGTTTTGGTGAAATGTTGAAATATCCAGAATCTGGTGAAAATTCCGAAACCTGGTGAAAATTTGGTGAAATTCCAAGGCCTGGTGAAACCTGATGAAATCTGGAAAATTGGTAAAGATCTGGTGAAATTTCCAAATTTAGGTGAAATTCGGGTAATTTTCTCAACCTCAGGGGTTTTCTGAAACCTGGTGAAAATTCGGTGAAGACTTAATGAATTTGCGAAACCTGGTGAAAGCCTGGTGAAATTCCCGCAATTTCGGTGAACATGGCAAAAAATTGAAAGAAACGTTCTGCTCTTCAGGCCTTTGTGAAAAACCAATCAAGACCCAAATTGGTTCAGTCAAAACGCCTCTTTGTCCTCCGTTTCCGACCGCTAAGCAACTCAGCATTGTGTTGAATATAAATATAGAAAATAATTTGTACCTAAACATACATTATGTCCCCCCAGTGTCTTAAGAACCAAAGTAGCAAATAGCAAGCATGCGCCACATAAAAGAAATACAACGGGTTGTTCTACCCAAAGCAAATATACACAAATCCGACATTGTTTTTTTGCAACGTTTGGTTTCACTGTGTCCTAGAAAATTGGCTTAAGGATTGAATTCCCAAGTCCGCAGACAATCTCCCAAATCCAGGGCCTAAGGCCGAATTATCCGTGGTTTGAAGCTGGCTTTTAAGGATCGATCCCCCAAATCCAGGGTAAGGGTAAATTTCAAGGATCGATCCCTCAAATCCATGGCCCTAAGCCTAATTTCAAGGATCGATCCCCCAGATGGTAAGGGTAAATTTCAAGGATTGACCCACCAAATCCATGGCCCCAAGCCTAATTTCAAGGATCGATCCCCCAAATCCAGGGTAAATTTCAAGGATCGATCCCCGAAATCCATGGCCCCAAGCCTAATTTCAAGGATCGATCCCCCAAATCCAGAGTAAGGGAAAATTTCAAGGATCGATCACCCAAATCCAAAGCCCCAAGCCTAATTTCAAGGATCGATCCCCCAAATCCAGGGTAAGGGTAAATTTCAAGGATTGGTCCCCGAAATCTATGGCCCCAAGCCTGATTTCAAGGATCGATCCCCCAAATCCAGGGTAAGGGTAAATTTCAAGGATCGATCCCCGAAATCCATGGCCCCAAACCTAATTTCAAGGATCGTTCCCCAAAATCCAGGGAAACTTTCAAGGCTCGATCCCCCAAATCCATGGCCCCAAGCCTGATTTCAAGGATCGTTCCCCCAAATCCAGGGTAAGGGTAAATTTCAAGGATTGATCCCCGAAATCCATGGCCCCAAGCCTGATTTCAAGGATCGATCCCCCAAATCCAGGGTAAGGGTAAGTTTCAAGGATCGATCCCCGAAATCCATAGCCCCAAGCCTGATTTCAAGGATCGCTCCATCAAATCCAGGGTAAGGGTAAATTTCAAGGATCGATCCCCGAAATCCATGGCCCCAAGCCTGATTTCAAGGATCGATCCCCCAAATCCAGGGTAAGGGTAAATTTCAAGGATCGATCCCCGAAATCCATGGCCCAAGCCTGATTTTAAGGATCGATCCCCCAAATCCAGGGTAAGGGTAAATTTCAAGGATCGATCCCCGAAATCCATGGCCCCAAGCCTGATTTCAAGGATCGTTCCCCGAAATCCAGGGTAAGGGTAAATTTCAAGGATCGATCCCCGAAATCCATGGCCCCAAGCCTGATTTCAAGGATCGTTCCCCCAAATCCAGGGTAAGGGTAAATTTCACGGATCGATCCCCGAAATCCATGGCCCCAAGCCTGATTTCAAGGATCGTTGCCCCAAATCCAGGGTAAGGGTAAATTTCAAGGATCGATCCCCGAAATCCATGGCCCCAAGCCTGATTTCAAGGATCGTTCCCCAAAATCCAGGGTAAGGGTAAATTTCAAGGATCGATCCCCGAAATCCATGGCCCCAAGCCTGATTTCAAGGATCGATCCCCCAAATCCAGAGTAAGGGTAAATTTCAAGGATAGATCCCCGAAATCCATGGCCCCACGCCTGATTTCAAGGATCGATCCCCCAAATCCAGGGTAAGGGTAAATTTCAAGGATCGATCCCCGAAATCCATGGCCCCAAGCCTGATTTCAAGGATCGTTCCCCCAAATCCAGGGTAAGGGTAAATTTCAGGGATCGATCCCCGAAATCCATGGCCCCAAGCCTGATTTCAAGGATCGGTCCCCCAAATCCAGGGTAAGGGTAAATTTCAAGGATCGATCCCCGAAATCCATGGCCCAACCTATTTAAGATCGTTCCACGAAATCCGAAGGGTAATTTCAAGGATCGATCCCCGAAATCCATGGCCCCAAGCCTGATTTCAAGGATCGATCCCCCAAATCCAGGGTAAGGGTAAATTTCAAGGATCGATACCCGAAATCCATGGCCCCAAGCCTGATTTCAAGGATCGATCCCCCAAATCCAGGGTAAGGGTAAATTTCAAGGATCGATCCCCGAAATCCATGGCCCCAAGCCTGATTTCAAGGATCGTTCCCCCAAATCCAGGGTAAGGGTAAATTTCAAGGATCGATCCCCGAAATCCATGGCCCCAAGCCTGATTTCAAGGATCGTTCCCCCAAATCCAGGGTAAGGGTAAATTTCAAGGATCCATCCCCGAAATCCATGGCCCCAAGCCTGATTTCAAGGATCGTTCCCCCAAATCCAGGGTAAGGGTAAATTTCAAGGATCGATCCCCGAAATCCATGGCCCCAAGCCTGATTTCAAGGATCGATCCCCCAAATCCATGGTTTGATCGATGCCCGTTTTCAAGGATAGATCCCCCAAATTCAGGCGGTCTAAGGCTCAATTTCGCGGTTCGATTTTCCAAATCCAGAGTACTAGTATGAAGGCAAATGCCGTCAGTTTATGAACAGAAAAAAACAGTTATACCAGATTGCTGTGCGGAAAAATGCATTACGTATGAAATGAGAGACACTTGAAACTGACTTGGGGCTTTCACAACCTAGTGTTCAAGGTTTGTTTGGAGAAGAATCAGATCTGCATTGATTGCATTGTTTGCACGGCACAGGCTGCACAAGCAACCAAGATGATTGTTGATTTGGGCCAACAACAGTTTGCTTCTTGCCTATATATGTTCTTTCCCGTGGTTGATGTGGTCTGCTTTTGTCCTGCGTATGGTTTGTTTTTTATTTTGATTGCGTCGTTGTTTTTTTCTTGCTGCCAGTGCTTCGATGGTTTCTATCTAGTCGCGGTGACGTGCTCACTTCATACTCAAGTCTTGTCGTTTGGGTTCACTGATTTGTTGTGGCCTGTCACTTGCTATTCTCTGTTACTTTCCCGCCTTTGTTTTTGATATTGTGTCACCGTAATATTTTATATCATTTTATATCT